GGAGGTCATCTTTGTGAAAATAAATCATCCATCATTAAACAGGGGTGGAGGCCTCCGGGTTCAACTGTCCCCCTCTTACAATGCTGTGATTGCTAGTATCACTCAGCCCTCTGTGAATAGTAAACAGCCATCAGTGTGCTAATGATCCATTGTTAGGCTGATGGTCCTTCTTGAGCATGTGAGCAGCTGGTTTTGGTTGTCAGCAGCAAATTGGTTGATCCACCCTGAGAAGGTGCTATTTAAGAGACTGAGCTGAATACAGCACCTCAGACTGAGGAAGTCTCTCGGATGAGAGACGAAACATTTCTACATTTTTTTGCTTTTTTTTTTTTTTTTTTTTGAATGTCAGAGGACCAGATTTAACTCTTTTGGATTTTTCTACCTGGATTATTGAGCATGCATCAGGTTACTTTATTACCGTTATTATAAACTACTAGTTCCTCTACTGCTGCCTTCCCTAGTAGTCATCAATACAAATCAGAGCAAAACCATTCATTAGTTTATTCCATGACTCACCTCCGCCATTATTCCTGACACAGTTGATGTGCCCAGGCGATAGCTGGCAGCGACGCTCTGTTCCGAGCAACCAGTGGCCAGGATGCGCAGCGTGACAGCCACTCTCTGTGCAGCACTGACAGGTGAGCGGTGGCTGCCCTGGTGCTGAAGAAACGGGGCTAAGCGCCCAACCAGTTCATCGAACTTGCTCGAGTCCATTCGAAAATATTCGAAGTGTTTCTCGCTGTCCATAGTGTCATTAACCAGTGTATTAAATTCCCCTTCTTTATCCCTGGTCTGGTTTAAAGGCCTCACGTACCACCTTCTTTTCTTTCGTTTTTTTAAAGCTAATAAGAGGCAAACGATCTCTTCTTCATCATCATCCGTTGACGACATGACTGAAAGACTGAAGGAAATGACGAACTTAAGGAAATGACGACATGAATTTGGCGCGAAAACGCGAGCGCGTACGCTCGAGTATGAAGTCTCAACCCTCTGTGGATCAAAGATCTCATTTATAAACACTAGATCCAGTGTTGCCAGATAGAGTCGAGGTTTTCCAGCCCAAGAATCTGTTAAAAACCGCCACATCACACAAAAACCCGCCCAATCAATATATTGTTATATTTACTGTTTGAACATGAACGAACATCAATAAAACAAGCCAAGGTAAATAAT